ATATCATACAAAGAGATTGTCAAATACCTGTTAGTGACACAAGTGTTCAAAATGATAATTTCCTCCGGTTAGGGAAGGCCTCCGGTTAAGATGGGCCTTCACTTGGTATAAATTGAGACAGGAATAGAAGTGAAAAAAGCACAATGCTACCTAAAAATTTACAGGTAGAGGGAGAACGAGATAGAGGGAGAGCAGGAGAGCGATAGATGGGGAGGGAGACTGGGAGAGAGAGAGAGAATGGGGGCAAGATAGAGGGAGAATGGGAGAGAGTTATGGAGTGAGAGTGAGGAGGGAGAACAGAGGGAGAGGGAGAACGAGACAGAGGGAGAGCAGGAGAGCGATAGAGGGGGAGGGAGACCAAGAGAGAGAGAGAGAGAGAAAGGCGGTGAGACAGAGGGAGAATGGGAGAGACTGATAAAGGGAGAGGGTGAGGGTGCCACAAAGGGGGAGTAAGACTGAGGGGGGCGAGAACGGGAGAAAGTGGGGGCGACAGATGGAGAGGGAGAATGAGACAGAGGGAGAGCAGGAGAGCAATAGAGGGGGAGGGAGACCAGGAGAGAGAGAGAGAGAGAATGGGGGCGAGACAGAGGGAGAATGGGAGAGAGTTATAGAGTGAGAGTGAGGAGGGAGAACAGGAGAGAGGGAGAGCAACCGAAGTTCAGTCGTCTGCAGTCGAAGAGAAGAGAGTTGCGAGTGTGAGAGAACGAAAGAGAGAGAATAGGGAGGGCGGGAGAGAACAATGGTCGTGGGCCCTAAGAGGGTCATTTTAGTCTTTGCAATTTAAGGATAAATTTCAAAATAAAATTTTAAATAAATGTTATTGTGACATATAATCCGAGTTGGATTGCTACGTCACATGAAAAGCTTAGGTAGAAGTGTGATGCTTACATGGCGTGGGAGTCGGTCTTATAATTTCAAAAGTTGAATTATAGAGTAATTGTAAATTTTGTATGGGTCGGCCTGGTGTTCAGATTTCTGCAATGGGCCTGCTCGTACTTTTCCCTAAAAAACAACCCTAAACCTATTTCACATTGGTAATCTAAACCATATGCATCTGTCAATATACGCCATCAGATAAGAATGTTGTGTATTTTATATAAATTTATGCATGCTTGCATGTATTATTGTGCGAATGTATTAAATAAGTATACCTATGGTATATGTATAGTATGGTTAATTTGAATGGGATAATAAGGGTTGATCCAGGCTCAAGGTACCAATGGGCTAGGTAGTGTGTAAAGAAGCTTGTATAATGTGAGGATGGTTTGGAACCGCTTGGTATGGAGAAGTGGTGATTGGCCATTGGTGGTACATCTACAATGTGATTGGCTAAAAGGTTTTAGGTGATTTTGACATTAGAGGGAGTAATAAAGACTGTGTGGAATTGTTGGGATGCAAGGAATGTCTTACTAAGGTGAGTCTGGATTTGATAGCCACATTTACTTGGGTGGGATTGATAAATCTGAAATCTGAAGTTTGCAAAGCCAGAAAGCTATTATGTAGGTCTGAAGTCTGAAAACCAGCATAAATGCTTTTCTACTTTTTAGAGACTCTAAAAAGATAATATTGTTTGTGTTGGAACATTTTTCCAACATCTGAAATGGTTGGATTTTACTATTTTACCCAAAACAAAATATTTACTTAAACTTGAATTTAAATTAACCCTTGTATTCATTGAAACAATAAAACAAACAAGTAAAATGCAATCAAAGCACAAAGGTGGACTTAAAAAAACGAAAGACATAGTTCTCTCAAAAACCTACAACCACAAGGAAAATAAGAAAAATAATCAAACATAATACATTCAAAACTGGAGAAAGAACATTAATTTAGAAATTGTTTCACCAGTTCAATGGGTGTATAAAACTTTAGGGCAAATATTAGAGTTCTTTTGTTCAATTGATGTTATCCAAATCATCCTCAAAAGGGTTGAAGAAATCAACATCCACGGTTTTGTTGTTGGCGTTGACAATACCCTTGGCCATTGGCCAACATATTGAGAGAGTTGGCATCATTGATGTCCATCATCACAGTAGAGCTGTAAGTGGAGTTAGTTGGAGTTGTGAGAAATTGACATTCCAAGATGACTTCATCTTCTCATAGACAAAGGAAACAAAAGAATACCAGTGCCATCATCACCGTGGAGCTGTGATCGTCCATTAATGGCTTCATCTTCTTGGAGACAAAGGAAACAAAAGAATAGCAACGCCATCATCACCGTGGAGTTGTGAGTGGAGCTAGTTGGTGATGACTTCATCTTCTCTTTTCTCTGTTCGGAGACAGAATAGTAGCAACATAGGATGGATGGCACAAGGAAATAGAGGGAACAAAAGAGAAAGGAGAAGAGGATCAATGGCATAGGATGAACTAGCAACAAGAGGATACATTTCCCATTTTAAAGGGGCATTGATGTTGGGGTTCGAAATTGGTATATTAAAGGGTAATATTGGTCATTTCCAAATTATTTAGGGGCATTTAAGACATAAGGCAAAATCTGAAATGTGTCCGAACATGTTAAGTTACTAAGCAAGCTTCTACCATTTCAGATCTGAATTGTTGGTTTAGATCTTTAAACCAAACCTAAACCCAAACACGTCTGACATCTAAAAAGCAAGTTTTTTAGACATTAGACATCTGAAAAGTGTTATTCAAGGCCACCTTATTCAGACAATGCTCACATATGCAAAACCTTAACCTCTATACTTTGTTCTACTGTTTATGTTAGACCACATAAAAAAACGGAGAATAAGATCGCCAAAAACCCTAAATGAGTTGGTCTTCTCCCAAGTCCCAATTTACCATTTTTTCTATTTATACTTAAAATTTAGAAATAAGATCATCAATTGTTTAGCTCTCTCCAATTCAAACCTGAAAGAGAGTCCAAATTAGATTTGAGATTACAAGATATTAGTTATTCTCTCATTGTTTCATTTTTTGGGTTGTTTTTTCCTGCCTTTCTTAAGTTTCTTATTGAACAAAAACCTAACAATATGTTGATGTGTTATTTACTTATTTTTGTGTTTAGGGATGTAAGATGTGCAAGAAGAGGAAGAAGATCACGAGTAGTAGAGGAATGAATGCTTGCCCTTGGTAGTAACTTAGAAAGTTTTCGTGATTAGGTTACAATATTCAGATGATACAATATTTCTTCTTCTTCTTCTTCTTTTTTGTTCCATGTATTTTTTCATTTTTTCTAAGTTACCCACCAAGAAATGAAATTAATATGTATTAATATAATTCAATGTATTTGATCACATTGTTTCTTCACCCATGGAAATTCTTAAGAATGGAAATGAAATGAAGGGCTATTCAAATTAAGGCGGTAATATGGAAATCATCCTACTTCCTACCTCCATTTAATGTGCAATGAATCTATGGGGTCAGCGAATGGAATAGAATGCTCCTTGTATTGAAGGTGTAACAAATTTAGAGCATAACAAGGTAGAAGATGCATTATATATATATACCCAAACAATGGCTCTTTAGGGGGCTGTGGAACCAATTAATGATAATGTCCAACATCAGCCATAAATAATAAATGATAGATTTTGAATGGATGTAGGTCATATATTATGATTGAAATAGGGTGCTATCATTGATTCCACAGCCCACTGAATAGCCATCGCATTCCGTTAATCCAATATCCCCCATCCCACCTCACACACAAGCGGAGATTAAATCTTATTTGAGTTCAATAGTGCATTTACAAATATTTGTTGCACATCTAATCAAGATTAGCGGTGGCAATTGGGTGGGTTGGGTTGGGTTGGGTTGGGTTTGGTTTGTGTTGAGCTTTAACCTAATCCATCTAACCCACCAATCCATTAATGACCCAGTTATATAAAACTAAATGGGTTGGATTCAACCCAAACCCGCCTTGACCCAATCCAATCCGCCCAAACCCATTAATCTTATATTTATGTACTTAAAACAAAAAACTAATTCCCACTTGACAAATAATTTGGTCATAGCTTGGTGAGTTGGTGGTAATAGTAGTTGTTATTTACACAAGTGGTGAAGGTTCAAATCACATTACGTGCATGTTAGTTTTACACAAGTGGCGAAGCCATTTGATTATGCTTGGGTTTCGGGTTTGACCGAACCGAACCACTTAGGTTCAAACTAGTCAGACCAACTTGAACTATCTAATTGGATTGTCTTCAAGTTAATCACATTAAGAGTGGTTGAACCGTTTGGATCTGGATCGGTCCAATCAGACCAGACCGGACCGCTTCAGTCAATGGTGGATTGACTCGGATCGGCCTATATCAGGTTGTGCACGGGTTTGAGACCAAACCGTTTGGTCTGATATGGGTCAATGGAAGTAAAGCAGGCTGGTCCAAATTTGGGTCAGGTGTACAAATACGGGTCAGACCAATCGATTCGAACCAGGTCAAAGCAAGCTAGCCAGGTTTCAGGTCAGAATGTGCCAGGTCTAGGTTGCACTAGTTCGCCGACCCCGCTTTAGATTCGGGTCGACCTAGATTGACCTGATATGGATCGGTTGGGTGAAGTGTGTTAATTTGAGGCAAAACTAATTTTAGTAAATAATTAATAGAAAATTAATGCATTAATTATAAATTATTTCACTCAAATGAAGAAATTAAAAAAAAAAGGCTAAAGAATTAATACTTGTATCTTTAGTGATTAACCCAATGGTTATCCACAACCCAACCCGACCCAATCCATTTAAATTGACCCAATGGGTGATCAACCCATTCCCAACCAATTATGTTAGATACTGGGTGGGTGGATTCAGCGGGTTGGGTGAGAAATTGCCACTCCTAATCAGGATTTCAACCAATCATGTTAAAAGACATCAAACAAAGTCTACTTACTTTTCATTGGTCCATGTTTTACAATGTGTACTTCATGTTATTTTATAACATGTATCAAGATTTTTATAATGTTAAAGATGTCAATTGTATCATGTTATTTTATAACTAATTCATGTTTTTTGTTTCACAGTGTGGTTTATACACAATAAACTTTTCCTTGACTATTCTATCCAATTCTAGCACAATTTTCGTGACCGTCTAGGTTCCCCCCATATGCTAGGTTGGTTGGATTTATTAGTGGAAATTTGTAGGTGTTTGATAAATGATTTCTCATCTAACTTTTTAAGATGAGCTGGAACATTTCGCATTCATGATGATAGGTCTATAGTTTTTCTCCAAGCTAGCTTTAATCTCAATGGCCATTTTGTATTCATGATGATAGGTCTTTTGTTTGGACCTTGGGCTCCATGTTCGCAATTGTTGTTTCTTATGGTGAGAGACTGAGAATGCTTTTGTTTTCGTGGTAAAAAATCAGATGGATCTCATCTTGCGACCTACTACTAGTTATTATGGTTTGAGACTAAGAGTGCTTTTGTTTTCTATGGTCAAAAATCATATGGATCTCACCTTGAGACTTGCTAAGAAGAAGACTTGCCAAGGAGAATACTCAGTTGTAAACTATGAAACTCCTTGATTTTCGATCTTAGGCCTAGCTACTGCTTGCTGATGATAGATTTGTCTTATTGGCTTCTGATGTAATTCACAAACCAACAAATTAGGTGGCCAAGGGAAAAAAACTGATCAAGTGCCCATGACAATAACAAATGTCCGCTCCACATGGAAGTAGCCATCGCAAGGCCCTTAAATCACAAGAAGACATATACCAAAAAAGAGTCACAACAAGAGGTAAAGGATCCAGGCATCAAATATCATGCTACCAAGTGCCATGAATAGAGAACCGCATTCAAAACTGATCAAACATTTTTATTGTGTCCACATGCATGGTTATAGAGAGCTCAGATGAGGTAGGCATGGAGTTGTAAGCACGTTTAATGAGCACTTGAAAATTTTTTTGGCATCTGTCCCTTAGAATATCCTCACCCCACTTTTGAAAAAGATTAATACCCACTTTTGACAATTGTCAAAATATTTATTAAGTGCTCATTTAATGTGCTTAATTTGATGTACCTACTAGATCCGGTCCCGGTTAAAGACTATTGACAAGCTGATAACATTGTATTTGTAGTTTCGTACTGCATACTCATATGCAATCGATGAATTTACCAAACTCTTCAGTTATCTAACTTACAAGAACAATAGGTTTCCCTTAAAATATCCCGATTAATATCTATGAAGCACGATTACCTTGATAAAACTGTAATGCCTCTAGGTTCTTGATCGATCGATCAATAGATAAATAGATAGATAGATAGATAGATAAAATACTGTGGAATTCTAGGGACAAGCATCTTTGCCCGAACCAATGCCATGGGTGGCCTCAAGGTATTGATGAACAATGTGCTTGCACTACTTCTGAAGGTGGTTGGCACTCTCAATACAATAGCACCACTTGAGCTTCTCTCTCGATATGTTGGCTATCAGGGGCAGAGCCGAGATTTTTTAGTAGGGGGCAAAAGCTAATAAATATGGATTGCGGACTAAGAGTTAATATAAGTGAAATATAAATGGAATTGTGGGAATTTTTAAGCCATAAGGGGCGATGGCTCTCCTCTGCCACCCTTGGCTTTGCCCTTATTGGCCGTTTTGGTGATGATCCATTTTTTTCTAACTAGATTCTTCCTCATCTCCAATATCGCCAATGGATCTTTGTATGGGTTAGTCGAATTGAAGTCATCTGGAAGCCCTTCATTGAACACAACTCCTCCCTTTCTCACCATCTTCTCTCTTGATCTCCTTTCTCACCATCTTCTCTCTTGATCTCTTGTCACTCTTTAAAGTCTAAACTCTTAATTCTTATTATTTCATTGTACTGTTATGGTAAAAAAAATTGTAGCAATACTAAACTATTACTTTATAGGGAGAAGTATAGGTGGGTATGCTGTATTCAAGGATTTAAATATTAGATAGGATATATCCAATACGGGCCATATCGTATTGGTATCGGTGTAGGGTGATGTAGAATACAATATGATTGGAAATGTATCCTGCAAATCGTACGTATCAGACTGATACACACTTCATATCAACCCGTATCGCATTGTATTGGCTGGCATGCACCAATATGGGAATATGTAGTGCCTTTCTATTAAAAAATTTAATTGATACTTATAGTGTGCTTAGAACCTAAATCACATAATACTTGTGACATTTAATGAAATAAAATAATTTTTATTAACTTTTCTATCCATATGCAATCCAAACAAATAATACATTTTTATGTTTAACAACTCCAACTAAAAATTAAAAGAAGTAATATTTAAAATTAGCATTTTTGTAAATAATCTATCAAATCCACATTTACATCAAAAGATGATTTTAATCTCAAGAAATTTATACAAATAAAATATTAATAATAGAATAGTTATCTTAGTACTTAATATTTATAAATTTGTGCATGATATATATCTTACATTTTTACATATTTTTATAATTATTAATATTTTAATTGATATTAAATAACAATGTGTTTATTAATTCATTTAAAAAAATATTTACAAAATATTAAAGCATATAATATTAAATTGAATCTATCAAATTCACTAATTTACATTTATATGAAAAAATGACTTAATTTCAAAAAAATTATAGAAACAAAAATTTTAATAATGAATTAATTATTTTAGTTATTAAAAATTATGGATTTGCATATTATATATATTTTAGAAATTTTAATAGATTTGATATACTTTAAGTTAAAATTATTAAATGATAATTTAATTTATTTTTGAGAATTTAGTATTTGGTTAATTTTTTGTTGATGTTAAAAATGAACAATAATAAAATAGAAAATAATTAGAATAAACATAATAGGTCCATATGTTTTGTGTCTTGGACTCTTGATTAATGCCTTGTATGATATCTATGCATCCCACTATATTAATTATAATATATTTTTCATGTACACCATTAATATATATATGCATGCATGCATGTATGTATGTATGTATGTATGTATGTATGTATGTATGTATGTATGTATGTATGTATGTATGTATGTATGTATTTCTTATATATTTATACATTATTTATGATTTTTTGACTTTAAATTTAGTGTTATTAGTGTATTTATGTATTTCCCTAATGTATTCAAATGTTTTTTTTAATAATTTTGATCCATATCCATATATTTTCAAAGTGTATTCGTATCCATATCCATATCCACTATTTAAATTATTTGATATAATACTGGATACCGATACTTTAACTATTGCTTGTACTTTGGGGGTAGTGACACTTAAGGCTGCGTTTGGAATTGGTGTAAATCAAGAATGAAGTAAAAGTTTACACCAGTTTGGTTTTGTTGGCGTTTGGAAGGAATATAAATGAATATCGATATAATACTCCGCTCTAGTTTAGATTTGTTGGCGTTTGGATGGAGAGGAGTTTTACATTGTAAATCAATGTAAAATCTCATCAATTATCGGTGTAAATACTACATTGATTTTATCGGTGTAAAACTTTACACTTTTATACTGGATCCAAACGAAGCCCAAGTGCCTGAAACTTATCATTCATGGTGTTTGTGCGGCAAGAGAGAGAGAGAGTGATTGAGAGGTTCCCGGGCTGAAGATGAACGGTTAAAGAATAATTGAGAAACTGAAAGTAAAAAGAAAAAAAGAAAGGAGGAGGAGGAGGGGAGGGAAAGAAATTGGGGAAACAGGACCGGCTGCCAGTAGTTATATATGTGTATTCTGTTTGTGTATAGGGAGATGTTTGGTCTAGTTCACCAAGAAAGAGAAAGAGAAACCGTGTCTCAAAAAATGAAATGTACAGTAACTTTTGAAGTTTCATTACCCAAAATTTCAGATATCTGTGTAATTTTCCTAAGGGAGAATCTATAGTTCTATTTCTATACCATCCATTAACATCAGTAATTCAGTGACAGCACCACAAAGTATTCTGATTGGATGGATGGCATCAGATTTTATTTATTTTTCTTCTAAAAAATTTCTTTGCATATGAGAACTGATCGCAACCGTTGTTTAGGAAATTGACGGTTAATAAAAGCCCAGTGACATCACAATAGCTGACAATTTTACCGATCCAAAGCCACGTGTCCTTAAGAAAACTATAAATAGTCAGTTCTAACAAGTTTTGGAGACAACAGCTGAATTCTCTGCTCATTTGCCAAAAGAAGAAAAGGTAGGAATTCTCCTTCACCGAAGCCTGTACAGAACGAGCGACTGAGCGTCGAGAGAGATTGTATATAATTTTCCGTGTTATATAGGAGAAGAACATGTTTCTGTTGGAATGGTTCTATGGGGTGTTAGCCATGTTAGGATTGGCCATGAAAGAGGCCAAGATCCTATTTTTAGGACTGGACAACGCTGGCAAGACTACGCTTCTACATATGCTTAAAGATGAGGTTCTCTCTTTCTCTCTCTAATCAATCTTTCCAATTTCTTCCATCTTCCACTTTGATCCAATATTGTTTCTAACCGTAAGAAATTGATGATCGATGGATTCCGTGTTTTTTTTTTAATTTTATTAATTAATCTCTCTCTCTCTCTCTCTCTTCATTTTGTGATGAATGAACAGAGATTAGCACAACACCAGCCAACGCAGCATCCCACGTCTGAGGAGCTCTGCATTGGGAAGATCATGTTTAAAGCCTTTGATTTGGGTGGGCATCAGATTGCTCGGAGGGTTTGGAAAGATTACTATGCTGAGGTAAATTTTCATTTATGATTTTCGTTTCAACCGTTTCTCTTCTTCTATAAGTGTCTCTGTTCTGTCAACTTTTTTTTTTATTATTTATATTTGGATTTGGTTATATTAGATTGAATATATATACATTGAAATTTAAATCTTAGCCTTAATAATCACTAATCACTACACTACTAAACAAGTCTTTATTTCAGATTGGTCTGCTTTTGGATTTCTTCTTGCCTGCACCTGCTGACCCATGGAATTCAATATGCACTATTCCTGGAGTGGCTTCATATTCAATTAAATCCATTTCATTGTCTTGCTTCTGTTCAGAATTAAATGTCGTTCATCCTGAAATCCAGATGAAATCATGGAACCATTTAGCCATATCAATAATGATTTTGTCATAAGTAAACATCAATTCCAGAGTTAAACATTTCTAACAAATTCCTATAAAGAGACACACAGAATAGATATCCAATTTCAACTTCTTATAGGTTAGAGCATACTCACTTATAATAGGCGTATCTTGTTATCGATATTGTATGAATTTAACATTGTTCTAATTGTTGGTTCTTCATTTTTCAACGATACTGTTTTCACTTCTTCTTTCTTTTTTCTTTATTTTTTATTTTTTGGATTTTGGAATGATATTTAGCTGTGAATTCATTTTATTTTAAAGAATTTGGAAAAGAGATTCACTCAGAGTAGGGAAATATAGAATTTACCCCTCTGGAGGACCTAAGTACAACAAAGGCCAGTAACAAGTGAAATACTCGACTGCCCTACCATGAAGTTTGCACTGCAAATTCACAGAATAAGGAAACATTTGAATGAAAATGTGGAAATGGTTAAGGAGAAAACTTTGTTTGTAGACATCATAAGCAGAGTATAGTTACTTGAATTCCTATTCCACAGAATCTGACTCAACTCAACATTATCCTAGTTCCCTTTACGCGTGCTCAAAACTTGCCACTTGTTAGAAAACATGGGATTGGGACCCATAACTGGATGGGCACCAAGTACCAACTGAGAGAGGGTCTATATAAAAAAAGCATGATTTATTAATGACTTTTGCCATCTAATTTGTATACAGCTTTCTGAATTTTAGGCTCAGTTTGGAAAGAGTACAAATGCAAATATGTACAGTGCAAATACATACAAAATAATACAAAACATAAGGTTTTGCACTCTACATATTTGCATTTGTACTCCTTCCAAACTGAGCCTTAATAGCAATTCTTTTCTTAGTTTTCTAAATTTATGCAATTCTTCAGGCTATTTATTTTTCAGCCAACTAATCATTCTCCTAATCTCTTGAATGCAAGCCTTCAAAAAAAAAAAAAAAAATCTCTTGAATGCAATATGTACCGAGGGGATCTCTCACTTGAGTGCCCTTTGCTATCCACCAATACTTAGTACTCTTTTGTCAGCTTCTGGATGTAAGATAAGAAAAGCTAATGTTAACATGGCCACTCTCATCGAATGTTTGTGCTTAAGACATAAATGGCCTCAGTAAGTTTTAGACAGGTTTTTCATTGAAGAACCAGGTTTAATTGCATTATAGTTGGAAAAGGAACAACTTTCTTAACATCTGGGCTCGGGGGTTGAATTTAGTTTCTTCATCAAGCTTGATGGTTACATATTATTTATTTGTTTTCTGAAGAAACAGGCACAGGCAAAGATAAAATTTCATATTATACCTGATCCATTTATCTGTCTCTGAAAGTCCAATCTTTTCACCTATTCAAGATGTAAAAACACTTAGAAACTACTTAGTTATTGATGTCATAACTTATCTTCCCATTTCACTAAAGATGTTGTGAAGGAATTAAATAAACCAATCATATTTATTGTACTGCAGTGAATCTTATATGCAAAGCAATGAAATGGTGAAATTCATTTAATTAAGGTATTTGATTCTTATCTTTGCTTTTTCCTCTTTTGTTATCATTTTCATCTGGGTATGAGTTGTAGGTTGATGCTGTAGTATATCTGGTGGATGCGGCCGACAAAGAGCGATTCTTTGAATCAAAGAATGAGCTGGATGCATTGCTCTCAGATGACTCTCTATCAAAGGTTCCATTCCTTATTCTTGGCAACAAGATAGACATCCCTTATGCAGCCTCAGAAGACGAACTTCGCTATTGCCTTGGCCTGGGAACCTGCACTACCGGCAAGGGGAAGGTGAACTTGTCAAACTCTAACATCCGTCCTATTGAGCTCTTCATGTGTAGCATTGTTCGTAAGATGGGCTATGGTGATGGTTTCATGTGGTTGTCACAATATATCAAGTAGACAGTTGATAATTAGCTACAACCATTTCTCTTTGATTCTCTAATATCAGAAGACTTTGCCCTCTTTTCCACTTAATGTACAGTGAGTCAATGACTATGCAAAGTAATTGAAACTTCCAGCTTGTCCATTTTTCTATGAAAAAATGAAAATTCATTTAGCCTTTGCCTCACTGAAGGCATTCCCTGAGGAACTTCATCTTGCTAAGACTGCAATTAGTCTATGGCCCATCTACGACTTGTTGATTGGACTATACTTATTCATGAACGCATATGTAGGCTACAACCCAAATATCTTAATCCCCAAACACTATAAACTTTGATAAAATATGGTACAATATCTACCAGCTTAGAGCTTTCAGAGCCTCAATGTTAAAAATCTGTTCTTTCCTCATCCAGTGATGGAGAAGAAACTCATTCTCTTCCACAGAGATAAAAAAACTCAGTCATACTGACAGAGAAACTGAGAACTCAAATCCCCATGTTAAGAAGAAGGATTTGAAATTATTAATTAGCTGAATCCAAGTTAAGCTTTATCCTTACATTACGGGGTTCCTTCCATTGCTCACATCCTCATCTTTAAACCATTCAACAATCTTGGAAGCAGACAAAAAAATGCATTCATATCAACCTTCTTTAAGCCAAAACTCTAATAGCTTCACAAAGGCTCTTTTGAGTAATAATTTCATTAAGTTCCGTTTGGATGGTTCTTTTCTAAGGTATAAACAATTGTACTGCAACTCTTTCTTTAACCGATTAATTTCTCTGAAAACGTTTCTGTTATCATATATTCAAAGTTGGTCATTTAAATAACCCATGCTTCATTGCTTCTTGTAAATTAATTGATACCCTTTGGATTATTACCCAGAAGTAGTTGTTCACATTTTGCCACGCTAGGGACGTGTAAACTGTAAACTACATTTTTGTGAAATTGAAAGGCTTAGGCTTCATGCCGATGACCTGAGGTAGGTTTTCTTGCTTCAGACGGCTTCTTAGCAGATCAAAATTCTTAGGCTCAATTTGGAAAGAGTACAAATGCAAATTTGAAAAGTGCAAATACAAATATGTAAGGCTCAGTTTGAAAGGAATACGAATGTAAATTTGTAGAGTGCAAAACCTTGTATTTTGTATTATTTTGTATGTATTTGTACTGTACATATTTGTATTTGTATTTCTTCCAAACTGAGCCTAAAGTGTAAATTCAAGGTTTATAAATATAAAATACAAGATTTCCATTATACATATTTGTATTTGTATTCTTACCAAACTGGGAGAAGCAAACTTGGTAGGAAGTAAACCATGTATTGTTGAGGGAGAGGTGTTAAATGATTCGTATTAAGCTGGTATATGATTGTGTTGTACTGGTCAATCTGTTCTGCTGGTGGATAAATGAACTTTGCCTTTAGGCTGCGTTTGGAAGTGATGTAAATATTTACGTCCGTTCGGTTTTATCAATGTTTGGAAGGAGTGTAAATTAAGATCGAAATTGATGTAAAACTCTACTTCAGTTCAGTTTAGAAGGAGTAGAATTTTTATATCGTAAATCGATGTAAAACTTCATCTAAAGTAGAATTTTACATAATATAATATGGATGTATCAATAAAATTGATGTAAAACTTTGCTTTTCTCGTCATGCTTTTGGCTTTTTAAAATTCAAATGATTACATTTAGACGGTTTGATGTAAAACATCATCGATGTACTTCTACACCAATGATGTTTTACACTGATTCCAAATGCAGCATTATTACCAAAAAATAAATAAAACTTCTGAGGACACCGCTCTGATGCGACTCCACTAAAAACCGTCGGATTGGAATATGGACATGAACACAGGTAGGTTGATCCCCGCCTTGTGGTGCTGGGTTTGAAATGGGCAGTCGTGTCACGGCCAAGTATGAGATTAGACCGGGTTCAAAATTCAAACAAGCAACAAAATGCTTGGACAGGACAGAAATTTAAAGCAGCCGTATTGGACCTAGCGTCGGCTAACCAGGCGAGCCTCGTTCGGTCTAAGGGAAGTAGGGAACAGACAGAGGTGGTCCGTCGTTGATGATCCACCCTAGGCCCTAGCAGCCAAGCCCAAAGTTATGGCCCAGTTGGATGGTGTCAAGTCTCAACCATCCAATCAGTTTAGTTACTACTGTGGAAGCTTGAAAATCTCCATGACATTTCGGTTGTTATGGGATAAAACCTTCAACTGTTCCTTGAGAGGGTATCATGGCCTATTTGATCAAATGGTATAGTGTTGGATCCTTCTGGCCCATTATAATTAATTAAATCTTAATTTGAAAAAAAAATACAAATACAAATATATAAGGTGCAAATACAAGATTTAGAAATACAATATATAAAGTTTTATTATTTGTATTCTTCCCAAACTACAAGATACATATCCCCATTAAATTTCACCCCTTCTCACCAAGCAGAACCTGCGAATTTGTTAGGAACGAACAATAACCAGTTCTTACAGTTCTTATCCAACTGGCGGACCCACCCCACTTTTCTGAATTGCCCATGTCGTCCATTGCTCGTAGCTTGTTTCTAATTGTATTTCCTCCAACCAAGCGCAATCAAACACCATGCACTGGATCAGCGATCCTAGGTTTCCATCTGAGCTGGTTGGTTTGGACCATTTGGCTAATACCACCTGCTGCTCTTCTACACTTTGGCCATCTAGGCCCATTTCACATTTAAAAAATCAGCCCATTGAGGCATTTTCTTTTTGGTCCATTGAGGCCCTGCATATTAAGAAAGTCTTTTATTGGCCCATTTTGGTTTAGCCCATTGTGGCCCGTTTTGCATCGGCTCTAAAAGCTTGCCCGTCTCGGTTGACCCAATGTGGGATTTTGTTGACCTATTTTAGGCTTCTTAGCCCATTTTCGGTTAGGACCATGTTGGCCCACTGATGTTTTTGGTAACCAGCCTTTGGAGGCTTTCGTTCTTTGAAGCAGCAGCAAGACAAGATCATTTACTACATCACCATGTCACCGTCCACTTGCCACATCACAGTTGGAAACTATCCAGTGTTTTTTTTTTTTTTATCAAACACATGAAGATCTCTCATCTTGAGGGGGCATACCAGGGAATATTGTAGCAAGATAAGATTGGGGTTTCATGAGGCGGTTACGATGAGATGCGGATGACAAAATAGAGATTACAAGATAGAATAAGATAAAGTTTCACGGTCTGTTTGATTCGTAGTTGGAATTGGAATTGGAATCGGAATGGATTATTCCCATAGTCTGTTTATTTCAAATAGGAATAGGAATGAGAATTGGAATAAGCAGGAATAAGATTTCATTCCCAAGGAAGGGGTAGGGAATGGCCATTCCCTCAAATGGGGGAGTGTCATTCCATCAGGAATGAGAATGAGATTTCGATTCCACCCAACCAAACAGTTGGCCATTCTAATTCCGATTCTAGATTCCTATTCCTGCAAATCAAACGGGGCCTTAGTCGTTGTAGGACTTCTTAGGTGATGTTTGGCATCGATGATGATTTCCCAGAAATCGACGCTACATAGGATCCACATCAGAATTTGAAGAATCATTGATTTTTTTTTCTTGTTTAGTTGGCTGATTATGCCAATTTTTGGGAAATCAACCCTTTTCAGGGTCACCTTTTCTGGTGATTTCTTGCTTTTAACTGATTCCGGTTTTTTGAGGATGATATGGTGATGCTGCTCAATCCAAGGTGGTGCATGAACTGAGGAGAGCAACCAAATAGTCCTTATTGGCAGGGCGGAACCAAGCTACAAGGACGAGGCTGCACTTCAAGACCTATGATCAAGAAAAGAGAAGTCAGAGGCTCGAGGAGTTATCCTCGGGTAAGTACTCCGATACTCAAGTCAGTAGGAGATGGTAGATGGTCGGGCCAATCTATAAGGTTGCTGGTCCGAGCCAAGTAGCAATTCTAGTGTTAGAAGTTGGATCCCTTACCTTGATCAGGGAGTACCTTTTTATAGTCGAAGATCCGTGTCTTGATTGGATTGGGCTTCCGGGGTTGTCGAGATGAGGTTAGCCGCCGAGGTGTTCGGGATAAAGTCCCATTCCCCAACGGAATCATCTTCCTTACCCCTCTTTATCCGCAGTTGTGTTCATCCGTGTGACATGTAGCTGACATGACTGAAATGATAAGATGGGGGGCCACAATAGTAGTGTAGCTCGGTCGAGCTATGCTGACATGGCAGACTAGGCCGACGTGGCTGGGCAATGATTGGGCAGCCACGTGTCTCTCAGGACTAGCTCAGTCATGACCCGAACATGGCATCCAACATGCTATTGAATAATAAACTCTAATACAAAAATAACCAGCCCTTGAAAATCAGTACCAAATAGACTGAAAGCTGATTTCTCAAAAATCTGTTTATATGGCATAAATGATACCAAACAACAATTCTTGATGATTATTCAAAAAACACTGATTCTAGAGATGACCAATTTCTGGATAATCGGCAAGAAGAAATCATCATTGATGCCAAACATCACCTTAATTCTTTAAATATATTCATGTAGTTTGATAATTTCCATATTCTAGCAATGCAATTTTATTATCATTCTTTTATATTTTACACCAGTCACCAATTCTATGCTAACTGACAAGGCTCAGTTTGGAAGGAGTACAAATACAAATATGTAAAGTATAAAACCTAGTATTTTATATTGTTTTGTATGAATTTGCACTGTACATATTTGTATTTGTACTCTTCCCAACTAAGCCTAAAAAACACCACTTTTTTTTTTTCACTCTAATGCATCTTCGGTGCATGGTGTGCTTTATTTACAGTAAAGTAGTACAACAAAAGGAAGCACAAAATGCGACTCAGAGGTGCATGAATTTTGTCAAAACAAACACCATATCCATATGATATGGAAGTGGTACCTAGTTTAGTTTGGAATGAGTACAAATATAAATATGTAGAATGTAAAACCTTATATTTTGTATTTTGTATTATTTACATGAGACATATTTGTATTACTACTATTTCCAAATCGTGCCTAAATAAGCCTTACCACATCTTGTCCAATTTGTTGTGACCGTTTTTGGTGAGAATAGTAGTAGCCAAGGTGTTGACAGGAATTAATTGAGCTATGAGCTACCACAGTGTACCACTATAATTGAAGTGCTACATTCAATTATACCGATTTTGGCCTGCC